TATATATATATATATATATATATATGTATATACATATACGTATATATATATATGTATATGTATGTATATATATATATACATATTACTTCTCTGAATTTGTGGCAGTGCTTATTAAAACAGATTTTAGATGGATTATTAATCTACAATAGATTTGATTGTAGAGAAATGCTGGTCAGGGATAGAAATGCTAGATTAACTAATTGGGTTGTACAGGCTGATTACAACCAACTCACTTACTTTTGCATGGGTCTATCAAATGTCCTACTCTTTGCAGATCAATTAGAACAGTTTCTCTTGGCATTGTTGTTTTTTATGTCTGAAGGATCCCCACTATAAATTCACAAACAGGTAAAAATCTCTTAGAAAAGTTAATAATGGCCAATGAACACAAAAAAAAAAAAGAAATTCTCAAGCTTTCAGAAAGAATGAGATGAATAAAGCCTGTGATGCAAACAAAATCATTTTCATTCAACCAATTCTTGATAAATCAATCAATTCCAAATCCTGAGCCTTCTTGTCGGTTCATGCATTCGACCCCGAGTAACACAGTAAATACAGCTCAGTTCTTAATAGGCAAACATGTGACCTTCTAATGAAATGAAAACTTAGAATTTATGTAGGATTATTTTAGACCTTTCTACACTTTAAACATGATACTATCATATTTTGAGGGGAAACGTGAAGGTTATTTTAGAGTTTCCCAGAGACCAGTAACGTGAGCGTGAAACTCCCATGACAATGTTTAAAATGTCTACCATGATGCTGTGTTGCCTGGAGGAATGTATCAAATGTTGCAAAGTCAACCTTTCTCCTGTATGTGCACTGCAATAGATTTACATTTATGTTCCGGTGTCTGCCAGGTTAGCCTACCGTTGTTTTAAGCCTTTTTAAAGAATTATATTTAGTGGGGGGTTTCTTGGTCCGTCTGCATAAATAATTTTCAGTGTCTGATTTGATCACTTCCTTAAAAGATAAATTTGGTTTAAGATAACACCAGATAACTGTTGGGAGAAATACATTGTCTATCATCTTTTAAGATTCAGTTGTTTTTGACATCTGGAAAAAAGAGCACCAATACAGAATGCACAAATAAAACAGCATGGACAAAAACTGCTGGCTTAAATGAAAATACTGAATACATTTAATTTATTGCATCATTAAAATATATTACAATATTCTACTCAATGTGTGGTTATTTAGGGTACTCCTTGTTGGAAATGAACACAAATGTGCAGATGAATGAGTTTTATAGCAGTTTGTGGCTTTTAAACATCCTTACCAAGAATACTAAAAAAATTAAAAGGCATCTGTATAAATGATGTTGACTGAAGCGTAAAATCTTACATCGTGTTAACAGACATTTTCTCATGATTCTATTCCATCTGTTAGGCTCTCAGATGTCCAAAATAGGAAGGAAAACATAGATAGAAAGGGCATGTCTTTAGAAATTTACTGCATGTTGCACCAGAGCACCAGAAGGTAATTCCAAAACAAACAGAAAGAAATCGAACATAAAACACAAGTTGAGCCCTTAATAATAAACTCCCAAAACCTCATGAATTACAAACATATCAACAAAAATCATAGCCTTCTGAATCCTAAAGTCATGTTAGCTAGAGCTGATGAATGAAAAGTCAAATAACTGTTGTGTCCCCAACAGACATTGAATGAGAATAGCAAAAATACTCTAAGCAAATATTTCTCAGTATTCTGGTGTTAATTTTGGTAATCGAATAGGAATAAAACAGAAAAGGTTTATTTTTGCATATTTATCAGAGATCTCTTTACATGACATCAATCATAAATCACCAAACCCACAATGATAAAAGTGATGAAAAGGAAGTGAATTTCAAAAGGAACAAGTCTAGGGACAGCAAGCTCAAAATACTGACCCATCATGATTCATGGAGCCATGGGACTTGAAACTGTTAAATATCCCTTATGTGTAAAACTAACTGCAGACTCTACAGATCTGTTTTAGATTTTACTCTTCAATGGTCAGGTTTTGCTTTCATTTGGATTTCTTTGAGCGCACTTGGCTTTCCTTTGTAGTCACTCAATATTTTTTCATTGTCACTCATCTTGACACTATTTCTAATATGTTCCTCCTTGGTGTCAGTGTATATTTGTCCATAAGTCATTTAACATAATGCATCTTTTTGTGATGGTTTAATGTTGAAATCCTCCTCCAAACAAGGCCCATGACCTATATGAACCTCTGGCCTGTGCCCAGCAAGCTCTTTTGTAAATCTTTTCATAATTGTTGCATGTATTTCAGGGACCCAAAGCACTCCCCTGGTGGAGAACTGCTCCTCGGGGGAACTGACCCAAACTACTACACTGGAAATTTTAACTATCTGGAAACAAGGGAGATGGGAAAATGGGAAGTCACCATAAAAGGGTACGATATTTGCTGAAAGTCATTTGCAATATGTGTGTATTTAAGAATTCCTTTCTGTGCAAAGATTCAGAAATGTCAGCAAGCGTGTTTTGTTTGTTCAGGGTTTCTTTGGGGGCGAAGATGATGTTTTGTGAAGAGGGCTGCACAGCTGTGATCGACACAGGCTCCTCCTACATCACAGGCCCAGCCTCCTCTGTCTCTATGCTGATGGAAACTATTGGTGCTCAGCTGGACGAAACTGGAGTACGTCCATGACAAAAAAAAAAAAATACCAACAAAAAGTCATAATTTGTTTAAGAAAATAATCTTCACCTGTTTTAATCCTATACAATGTGTTGTTTAACAGTATAAAGTTAACTGTGAGACAGTGAAGATGTTGCCCAGTGTGACATTTCTCCTGGGAGGCCAAGAGTATGCTTTGACGCATGAAGATTACATAATATGGGTAAGATGGAGAATGGCTGCCAATTTATTAACAGCACAAATAATTCTGTTGTTCAGTAAAAAAAAAAAAAAAAAAACAATGTTGTGAATGGTAAGGTTTGTTGAGAAAGAAACTCAGGAGCAGCATAACAAACTGGAGAATTACTGAAGAAATAAAAACTAATCTAAGCCTAAATTACAAATTAATTAGAAATGGTATGACACACTGAGAACAGAGTAATGAGCACTAGCAGAGAAACAGGCTAACAAAATGGAGTACCAAAGTGCATTGACGAAGTATGGATGAGTTCAGCAGTCAGATAAAATTAGTTGCACTAAGGCAGAGATATGTATACAGAAGTTGAAAGAACAGAAATTAGCTAAGAGATTTCATTCAGTTCTAGTTAATCCATGCGATTGATTCATAAAGACACAGCTATCCACCTAAACTGAAAATGTTTCGAATAAAAGCAGAAATTAGAGGAGCAGCCAAGAAGCTTGTGTTAACTGCATATAAGCACCGTCTGTGATTATTGTTAGAGTTGCTCTCCAAAATGTTTTAGATATCTGCAACATGACTAGTCAAAATAACCCATTAGATATCTGCAATGTTTGTGTATATCTTGAACTGGATTTACTTATACAGTATGCATAGCTGTTGCAGATATCTGTAAAATATAATTAGAGATATCTAGACTTAGAGTCTTGACCAGGCAAAATGACTTTGCAGATATATGCAAGGTGAAATGCTGGAGTCATTTATTAATCCTGAAAAGTACTGCATGCCCTGTTACGGAAACACCTATGCTCATTAAATCCTCATACCAAAGTAGAAAACAGATTAAAATCTTTCTGACTGAACAATCTTTGAATATATGGGATGTGTCATGAGAAGTTTAGGAACAAGTCAAAAGAGCGCAAACTGAGAAAAAGAGCAAAATACATATATTAATAAAAAGCGTGATTTTAATTTGAACAAAATGTTGAAATTAAAGTTTTGAAAAAAAAATGAAGGGGAGGTTTCAAAGCTTTTGATTGCAACTCATCCTGTTTTTTAATGTAAAATCACAGCTGGCCCACATCTGCATATTTTTAAGGCAAACCCACAGCAAACGTACTGTATATGCTGCTTTTTGTTTGCTTTCATTACTGTATGTGTGTCGGCCAATAAGCGTTTGAATGCATAAATGCTTATGCAGATAGGTTAACTGCCTCGTATCCATGGAGTACTTATTTGTGGCCACAACATAGATGTAAGTTATGTAAGTTATAATGAGCAGCAGTTCAGAATTCATTTGAGAGGTGGAGGTGAAATGAGGCTGTCGCTTCCCTTTGCCTTAATCTGCGTACTTATTTTTCTCCATTGTAAGGTCTGACACGATTAAGTGTTTTTATTTTATATTTTTTGCAAGAGGATAATTTTTCAGTCTTGAGAAAAGTTGGGTGTTTAGCCTTTCTCGATAATTTACTGTAAAATTGCCCTTTAGAGTCGGTAGTAATGCATTTTTACATTACATTTATCCCTCATGAACCCCAGAACGGACAAAATATTATTCCAAAAATACCTCTCTGGATGGCCCATCCTGGTCTCAATAGGTAAAGTATAGTGGTAAAGAAAAAATATTAAAATTTAAAAAACACTTTTAAGGGTTGCACATTTTGTCTCGGGCAACCGTGCGCTCAAAGGTTTCCTGCAAAACCAAATAACAAAGGAGAAGATGCAATCACTGGTCTGGGTAGTGGCTCAGACTGGTTTGATTACTTTATACTTTAGAATAGCTCATAAAAAATAAAAAAAGCTTATTTCACCAGTTTCAATAAAAGCAAAAAGAGAAGTGCTTTATGTAGTTTCATGTCCTAACTCTTAGTTTGTGATGAGTTTCATAAAGAAGAAAAATTTCTTGGGAAAAACAGAGGGAATGCAGTTCTCAGCAGCTCAGACTCATATATTTGGACATTAAGGGATAAGAAATAGACTAAGTTAAGGGGTGCCCACTAAAGGCCTAGGTACCATATGCACTGCCCACCACTGATCATACCTGAAGTTCTTGTGGCTTTGGGAAAAAATGTCTTGAAATGATTTGAGAATATAAGCAGAAGAGACACTAAATAAAAACTCCACTGATGAAAAATAACAGCTAAAATGTGGATGACTGTTTTAATACATAAAACATAGAAAAATAAATGTTTCTAAAGCTTTGCTATTTTTCCATCCAGTAACAATCTTTTTAAAAAGAATTAAAATAGATTTGTCACCCTGTTGATTTTTAACTAGTTGCACTGGTGTACCATTGAAGGATTTTAAACATAGCAAACCTATTGTTTCAGCAATCACAGATCGAAGAGGATGTCTGCATCGTCTCGTTCAGGGACTTGGATGTGCCACCACCTACAGGTCCTGTCTGGATTTTGGGAGCAAACTTCATTGCCCGGTACTACACAGAGTTTGATCGTCGCAATAATAGAATAGGGTTTGCTACAGCAGTCTGACAAGAGCTTAAAGCCTAAATATATTAACCTGTCTCCCAATTTATTTTTGCTGCTCATTTCAAATATCATCTTGCCATCTCTAATTGAACACCTTACATTTGTCCATGTTTGAAAACTTTATTTTATTCTAATTTAAATCAGAAACAAAGAAGAATGCAAGGCATTTACTAAATATTTGTTTCTTTATCTAACACAGTTTGCACTGAAGGCCATAAAAGTTTTTTTTCCACTTTTGTTTATGAGCAAATTTAATCTGTTCATCACTCTGCTTGTAATGAACGGTTTTAATATCACCTATGAAAATAAAACACTTATGTGAGCCTTTTCCCGGTTGTTTTTCGTGTGTGATTTTTGGGTTGCTGAATTGTTTCCATGTTGGTGTGATGAATTCATTTTGGGACCGTTACTTGAAAGTTCCGTCTGAAGTTAAAAACAGATGCTGGAAGAGATTTTATCTATAATTCTAATGCTGGGTCAAATATTTTCAACATCACATTATCTTTTTTTTGTGTCCAAATTCTCTGCTTATAAGATTAGAACAAAAAAAAACAAAAAAACAATCAGTTTTTCAGATTTACTCATTAAACTGTGACAACATATACAATAAACAAAGGGGCCTCTCAAATGTGTTTGTACACATAGAGCAGCTCTTCAAAGAAGTTGCAAAGTGATTTGGGTTTGCAAATCAGCAGAAAGATGTGCAAACCTTTTTTGTTTGCATGTTTGGGTTCATCAATATCAGATCATATTTAGAAGACCATACCACGCAAATTCATGGATGGAGGATATACACATGTAAAAATTTACCACCAGGAAAATACATTTTCCAAAAATGAATGCATGGGAACAGGAGACAATCTTTATACAATAAAACCAAAACTAAAACAATGACCAAACCTAAATATTGTGGCATGTTTTCAAAAGGAAAACATGGTATCAAAACAGCCTCTTGTCTTCACAGATTCCAAATAATTAATTGCATGTGCAGTTTTTTTAATAGGTTTAATAAGTGGGCATGTTGATCTACAAATATTACTTGACAAACATTAAGACATGCTAACTCGATTTGGTTCTGGACATTAAAATATGCCGATTACATGTTGTACAAGTGGATCTAAAAATAAAATGAGGTTAAAACCCATGGAGATGAAGGTCACACTAATAATTACAGAAAAGAAATAATGATAATACAAAATAATATTTATAATAAACCTTGTCACCTATCTCAAAATGCAAGCAACAAAAGTAAAAGAAGAGAAAACATTACCGTGCACAAAAATTTTCAGGTTCTTCTGATGTTCTAGTTTTTATAAACATGTCATAATATATAAGTTTAGTCTTTTTTTCCCCCGATTAGGTATAAACATTTTACAAAAATTGTCTGCTATCCCGCTGCATTAAATGGAGCCAGCTGTGGAAATGTTTTCTTCATTAATATTACCGGTATTTTAGAATATATTTATTTACTGTTATTTTTTACAGGTGCTGAGAGTTCTCAGTTTTGAAGGTTTTATCAAACATTGTAGAAAAAATATATAATTTTAATTACTTTCTGGCCCTGTTGATAAGTTTGCACATATTAATTATACTCATTCAAAGGTCCTGTTTGACTCCTCCGTCTGACTCTGCAGTTTTCATCAAAAGATCAAGCTATTTTTAAAATTCTTTGTCTAAAAAGAATGAAGCTTGTCTTAAAATAACCTAAGCAAGCTAGGTTCTGTTAGAAAGATGTAGCCTTATTGAATAGTGGCAGGAATATCTGCTTACCCAGACGACAGGGAACACGACAAAACAATAAAAATGCAAAACAACTTACATTTATCAGGTGCCCTTGTCAGATCTTTTTGTCACATTTTCTCTGAATTCGCCAGGAAGTCCACCAATGCCTCTCCACAGTGACAATAGGGTTATCATGCTTATTGCTTCCATGTCCTGGAATTGACATCCTGGGATTGTATCAGTTAAAAGTGCATCATGAGGTGAGGGTGGACACTGGCATTTAGTCAGAAATCCAGCCTTTTGAAAAACATCTCTCTCAGTATGAGCTAGGTTAAGTATTTGGAGTGAAAACCTGTCCAAATAACCACTAGCACAAAAAGACAGACAAAGACTTGTCAGAATCAGTTGTATAATCCATGTTATTTCTAGCAAAATCATCCTAAAACTGAGCATTATGTATTGGGTTATAAAACAAAGCCCACTTCCGATAACTGCAACAGTTTTTCTTACACAAGGATGTTGCTGAAAGTAAAAGAGTTTGGGTGATTTAAGAGAGATGCATACGTGTATTTTTTATTTATTTGAACCAAAGCAGCATGATCACAAAAAGAAATAAAAAGTTTCAATTAAAGGTTTTTGGGGGTTTTGCTGCAGGGACAGGGAACCTGGTTAGAGTTACTGGAAAAAAACTGATGAAGCAGCAGAGTATCGTTTTTTTTATTTTTTTTATTTTATTTTATTTTTTATCTATTGAGGGTCAATTAATGCTGAGCAGAATTTTATTTTTTTACTCAAATTTTAACCTTGTTTTATAACTTCTATTGATAAAATGTTATCTCCTTGCCCATTATACTCAAACCGTTATAGGCTCAACAGTAGTTCCCAACAAAGAGGGACAGATTAATGTCAACAAGAAGATATAAAAAAAAAATCACCATCAAATTTGTAATCATTTTGATCAGTCTAAATATGGCTATTTTTTTTCTCCTTGTATAAATAAAATGTGGTCCTGATACCAAATGGAATTAGACTTCTACTTTATCTCTGTTGTCAAAAATGGATTAAAGCTTATATAAATCATCAAATCTTTTGTAAATAATTTAAATTAGTTAAATGTTGAAATATTCAGCTCAGGTTTCACAAGTCTGAAATGCAGTCCAGGCTCCTCAACAACACTGAAATATTTGGGAGCACATTTTCAGAAAAACACTAATTATCAACTTAAGCATAGTTTATTACCAACTTTGAACATTGGACCCTTACTTCCCACTTACTTAATATCTACTACAGTAGGGTTACAACAAACTCAGTTAGGATGCTTCTTATTCATAGGAAAGCCACTCACTCAAGATTTCTATCACTTATTGGGACACAGCATGGGACATTTTTAGGTTAAAAAGAATTTATTTTAAAATAATAAATTTAATAAATCTGAATTTTGGTATCCCTAATTCATGTTTTAAGTTCATAATTTTCCTCAAATGACCAAACAATAAGTCCACTGGTCCACCAATGATTTAAAAGACCCTTGCGGCAAAGGGGATTTTAATATTTTTCTTGTTGATATCAATGGTGACTTTTCACAGAGAGTCATAGGAAGGTTTATTCCCTTTAGGAGTCCTGGTCACTATCATGTATTATCTTAGCTCCAAAAGGCAATACATCATTTTTAATGTTATTAATGGCCTGCAGTGCTTTTACAAAAACAGATTTATTGCACCATGGAGTGAACTAAATGATCACTTTGGGAAATCATTACTTATTTAATGTTTTTTTGTTGTTTTTTACTCAATTTTTCTTAATCGGGGTCTATTCAGATGTAATTTTCAATATGTAAGAATTATTATTTTGTTTTCTGATCCTTACAGGTTTTTATACCAATATTGCTAATAAATATGTGTGCAACAACAGGATTCAAACCTATTTTAATGCTGCCATCACCTCACTGTACTTACAATGAATTTATTTCTTTCATAGAGTTGGAATGAATAATAGTTGTAGGGTGTACTGGAAAGTCTCACACAAATACCATACATACCATATGCAATCAACCATACAACCATAGGCTAAATGAATCCTAATATGGAGATGTGGACTGGATAAAAAAGGCAAGTTTAAAATGTTATGTACGGTATTTTTATGTCGTGAACAAATTTGAGGTTCTTGTAGGTTTAAAAATTATCTAACACAAACTCAGATAAATGATCACTCTTAAGTGCTTTACATTTCATATTTAGTTAAAATGCTTTAGTCACAATGTTTGTTTAGTAAGTCCACCCTCTTTGCTTTTATGTCACAACATCTGGTTCCAATAACACAACATACTTTATTAAATTAATATTGGTACTTATAAGAACCTTGACAAAATTTAAATTGTTAAGCAGTTAGATGATTTGATCCATGTGTGTTTAGGAAAAAGAAAGGAAGACACCAGCAGTAGTGATACTGATTATCCATCTGGTAAGTGTTAGAAGGTAATTTCTGAATGCTTTTGACTCAATCTCCTCACCACCAAGAAAGATTGTTCACAGGGTAAAGCGTTAAGGGTACTTGAATAATTTTCCCAAGGGCAAAAGTCTTGCAAAGTTCACAGCAAGGTCAAACCATGAAGTAGTTAGAATTACAAACACCTAAAAACTAAGCCTGAGTCTACAGACCTTTGTCATAATTTTAAATGTTGGAAACATATAGGAGATTGAAAGATTATGGCGGTTTAGGTGGGTCATAAAACTAGTCAGATGTTGTTTTTTTTTCTTATTTAATTATTACTGGTTTTACTGATTTAATGGCATTAACTTACTCATTTTTCCCTTTACTGTTTTCTAAATTATAGTTAGCCTTTCTTTCTTTGTATACCTTTGAGGACTCTAGTTGAGTAGTTGTTTTGTGTGCTTAACGGTTCCAAGAAAGATGACATAAAAGTGAAAATAACTGTAAGCATTGTAGGTGGATGGATGCTATAAGATGATTTTATTCCCTTATTGATAATCTTTTAACAATATAAAATAAATGAGTATCCTGTCCAACTGGTCTGTATAGGATTGATTTTTCGTCTGAGTAGCACAGAGGAGATGTCTGGGAAATGATCCGTGGCTTGGTCCTTCTCTTCTTGAATACTTTTTCAAATTATTTTACAACTCGAAATATAAATCAGGATTTTAACATTCTGGACATTCTACTATGCTTTAAGCAGTTCTGTTTTTACTTTGCCCTTTATATCCATGGCTGTTGCCCTGCTGGAAGGATGATCTACAAACTAATTTTAATTTGTTTGATTTTATTTCTTAACTCTGAGCAGTTCTTTTACTCCTTCTGCAAAAAAACAAAACAAAAAAGCATCCTTGCTGTGTGATGCCACCAGCATGGGTCACCCTGGGTATGGTATGCTTTTAAATCTACAGTGTCAGGTATCATCTCCACATACAGTAACACATTTAATTTTGGTCTAAACCAAATTAACAAATAAATGTTAGATAAATCACAAAGCTGCACTTCGTGTGGCTTATCAAAGCTTTCTTTGTACTATTCTTCCAAACAGGACAGATTAATAGACAGT